GCGCGGCCGCCGGAGCGCCGGCCGGGCCGGGGGCCCTGCTATCCCACACGATCCCTGACTCAGCACAGCGCTGCCATCTCACCCCACCGCATGATGCCAGACACATTTGCCGGCATGTGACGGCCCTCGCTCCTGAGCAGCCTTCAAAATAATCCGGGAACGCCTCCCCGGTGCCGTCATGCAGTTTACTTGTTCAGTCATGAGACTTTGTGCAAGTGTTTATGAGAAAACAGGCTGGAGCTTTACTACAGCTATAAGCAAGGAAAATAAGGTTAAGCAAAGCTTGATCTCGAGTTTTCTTCCTCCTTTAGATGGACTAAAGAAAGCCAAGAGGACCTGAGATGAAAGCATGGCTGCTTTCTCACCACAGGAAAATTATATTTGTTTTCTCAGGACATCAAATGACTCATTTCAGTCTTGTGGGTAAATGCAACTTTAGCTTAACCAAGGAAAAAAAAAGACAAAGAGAGACAGCTAAGATTGAACATATGGATAAACAGAGGCTAATGAAACAGGAACTTGGACTAAACTCAAAATGGTTTAAATATAGGCCAGGTAAATAGCACAATAGTTGGGCACCACACTGGAAAAGCGCTAAAACTTCACTACGTGCAGATGGCTTTTCTCTGTTAGGGTCAGCAGTGAGTAACAAATGCTTTTCTATTCCTTTGAAGCAATGTGAAAGCTTTTCAATTTCCTTTGTTCCTGCTCTATATGCAGCTGCAAGCAAGGGAGAATTCCAGCTGCTGTGGATATTCCAAATCAACAGGTTGTGGTTTTAAATACCGCCGCTCTCTGCAGTTACCCAAACTGTTAAATTCTCGGTTTAAGCATATAAAGTGCACAGCCTCATATGTTTATGCCCTTGTTTTCCACAGAAGAAAAATTTCAACGAGTGCAACAAGCTGAACTTCATTAATCTGCCTGTTTCTGGCACAAGGGAAGATAAGTCTGAAAACAGTAGCAACCACGTTTCAGAAAAATTAACTTGAGGTTATGTTCTCAGGGTGATGCAAGAACAAAAAGTCACATTGCTTCTCCAGGCTCTGCCAATTTGCTTTGGCTTCATTTTGTTAACTGAGGAAGAGGTTCGCATGCGTGTACTGGACATGAACTTTCTTTAAATTGGATAAGTCACATGCTCATTATTACAAAACATTTCAGAAGTGCAATAAAAATCATATGATTTCATGTCTGCTGCAGATCGGTTCCTTAAGTGCATTAAAAAAAAAGCAGCAATTCAGGGATCCAAACCAGTAACTATTTAACTGCTTTGGGTAACATTAGCTGTCCATTTTCAGCGTTTAACTTTGAATGCCAGTTTTACATGGAGATTCCTTGGACTAATAACAAATTGGAAAGGCAAATGCTCATCAAAATTCTTTTACACAAATACATTCAGAAAAGGAAACTGGGAAATTACTCCACTAGAAAGAGTCTTTTAAACAGATTTTATCCTGGTCAGGACACAGGCTGCCTGTTCTGCTAATCCTGAGCAATTAAACATTTTTATTCTTTCCCCTTATTTCTTGTAAAAAAAACCCCAAAAAGCTGCAACACATTAAAAATGTAGGGCACTATTGAATTCCTTGTCCCTGTGGGATGGAAGGCTGTGAAAACTGGCATACACCTAGCAGATTGTTTTTGAGAGTCCTTCTGCAGGCCAGGACTGGTGGAGCCAACTTTTACAGGGATTGAAAAAAGCATCATTTTCATTTCACCTAATAATTCCTTAGATACAGTGATATTTAATCCTCCTAACACTCATTATCAGCAAAAAAGGCTATCACTGACATGCAGGGGACTAGTCATGATTATGATCGCTGGCAAAAACTGTACCTGGTTTTAAGTTGGCTAAAACAGCTGCTGATGGTTTTGTGATCGGAATCAATTCCCTTGCGCAGATAAATCCCCGCATTCAAACCTTGCAGGATACTTAGTCTGGGTAGCTTTATAGTCAGGGGTCTGCAAAATCCCCCCCGGCACCGACCTGCTTTCAACGTTTCTCATGAAAACTTATATTGCTACCACCCTCCTGTCTCCCGCCAAACAATCAAGGAGATTGGCCAGATTTCACTTTGGAGCCTTTCAACATAATTTCACTTCGCAAGTCTAAAAGAAACAGGCTGTTGGTGCTTATTGTACCTATTCCTCACAGGGCTCCATGTGCTGCGTTAGGAGCACATCTGTATACATCTGTTCATTCCTTTTCTTTTGCATTTATCCAGGGTTTGTCCTAAGTTCAGATTTGAGATCAATTTAGAATTTGTTGGTTCCTTTAAAAGAAGGGGGGAAAAAAAAAAGAGATCTATATCTTGTGAGCTCATTCAATCATATGCAGACTAGGAATTAAACTTAATATTCCTGATTTCAGTTTAAAAGCAGAAAATTAATTAAATTCTTCTTTTTAACTAAGGTTTTGATTTGCAAAAATCAGCCTTTTCACTTTCTGGAAGTCACCGTTACTTTCCTGTTAAGATGGACATTTGGTTTAAGAGTGGCAGAACAAAAAATAAGTTTCTCCAACAGCTTCCATAAAAAGTGAACTGGAATTAGGACAAAAGAAACATACTGGAAGAAGCAGCAGCAATTGCCAACTTGATTTGCCTCACAGGAAATTAGCAAGTAATGTTTATGTACTCATGAAACATTCCAAGAAAGCATAACATTACACTAGACACCACTGGTAGACAGAGGATGCTCCCAAGGGAAAATCTATTGGAGACAGAGTTCAGTGAAAAGGTAGCTGACAGTGAATTTGAAGGCGAGAAGAAAGGGGGGAAATGAGCGGGATACAAACGTTCTGGCTTGGTCGTATTCCCTTGTCCTTTCCCTAGGCTGAACCAAGAAACAGCTCAAACAAGAGACTGAAGGTACCGTTTGTTCTCCCTCACGGCCACTCAGAAGGACACAAGCTTTCAATGCTTGCAACTCTATGAACTCATTTCTAAACTACTTCATTCTCATCATAGTTCAGTTATTTTACATGCTGAAGATTAAGCAATGGATGTTTACCCCGAGCTACATTTTTATTTTGCAACCCTAGAAACGTAATTGTAAATGCCATTTTTATTACTCTAGTCTCCATTAACCAAACCTAAGCAGAGGGGCACCAGGAAGAAAACAAACCAAAATCTTGTATTTATGGTCTTACAAGTACTTGTATGTTTAGTTACTTCTCGAGCATCCAGGCAATTCTGTCCTCTCATTAGAAATTTAAGATGTACCTTGCTTCTTGAGAGGGCTTAAGTCCACTTTCTCTGTCACTACTTTGACTTTGGTACTGCTACACATTACTTTAGTCCGTAATGTGTATAACCTAACTGGAATTTTTGGAAGTAATACAGCTGCTGCTGATTTTAAAAGTTGTAGTGACCAAAGTTGCCTTAATATAGCTCTTCATATCATTAGAAGGAATACAAGGGCAGACAACAGATACCATGTATTTTCAGAATATCCTCTCTACATTTGAATTGGACAACCAAGAATAATTAAATCATCGGTCAGAACAGGAAGTCAGTAGTAAAATAAAGTTAATTTGGCATGCAGTTCACAGCAGATGTATCTGTGTAAACGGCAATTCAAAATAACCTGCACGTAATGAAAAAAACATCTTGGCTGATCAAAACCCTCCAAAAATCATATTTATAAAAAAAAGCTGCAGAAGGAAAACAGAAAGGAAGTTCCAATGACAGCGTTTCCTAAGACCCTGATTCACTTGAAACAGGAAAAGCAAGTTAGTTTTTAGGTGAAAAGTTTGCCATGATGGAAACAGGCAGAGAAACAGAAATAAAATACATAAAAATGTGCAACATAACACTCTCTAATCCAATCTGTTGATGCAACCCCGAAAAACATTTCAGCTATGATATTAGGGCCTGAGCCCTTCATATGAGTAACTGCAACTTCACTGAAGTTACAGGCTCAAAATTTTGGAAATGATTTATTGCTTCACTGCATGCAATGTTAAGACCTGAGTGCTGCAAGATCATTTGGGACGCAGATACCCTTTCGACAACTTACCTTTTGCATCAAAAGCTTTGACGTACATGAGCGTTTTCTGCTAGCGTTTAGAAAAGTAGTCAACGCAGCAGTTTAGAAAAGATAGCCCACTAATATCCTATTACTTCTCTTTAAAGGACATGAAAATTATCCAGGGCTAGAAGGTTGGTGAGGAAGGCACCTATTCACATTGCATGTTACTGTTGGCAGCGTAAGCCATCATTATTGCTAATTCAGGAATTTGTGTGTGTTGCTGGACACAGAAATTAAGTACATAAATTAAAACTGCTTAAGTTTTATAAACCAAACCTTACCCACATGCAGGCCTCCAGCCTGACTTTTGAGATGATAGCCCATAAAGAGATGGATCCTTCAGTCGTCTCCTCATCAGGGCAGATAATTTGATCCGGGTAAGGAGGCTCAGGAAAATTAACTGAGTTACATTCATAAGCAGCAAGAGTAACCGATGCTATGTGTGGACCCTGAAAAAAACAAGTAATTTCAAATGCATTTTATATTAGTTATAATAAAAGTTAAAATTAAACCCCCACATTTGTCCCTGATGCAAGGAACCTAGGCTAAAACTTACGTGTTTTTCACTTTGGCCCTTAATAGTGTTATTTATGTAAAATGCTGGGGTTTTTTTAGACCATCTGAAGTGCAATATTGAGCTATTAATGCTCTTTCAAAAAACCAGAAACCCTTCTGGTGATCCACTAAAAAAGTTAAGGAGCCTTTCAGCTTTTGCCATGCCATTGTACAGTAGTGTGATGTTGCCAAGGAGAAATAAGAATCCTTACTTCTTAAAAAACAGGAAAATTTTCAAAACTTTTAAATGTTTCCCTTCAGGTATTTATGGCTTACAGCTTTATTAGAGCAGGTGTTTTCCCTACTGTTGCTTTTAGAATTTCAATGCCTCCATCCTCTATGTTTTGTGGGTTTTTTTAATGACTGGGTCTTTATGACATCTTACAGCAGATCTTCTTAACTTTTGGATCTTTCTCCAAAAACCAGTTGCTTGGTTTGTGTCAGTGACCTTAAGTAAGTGACCTTACTGCTGTTTGCTAAAAACGGTTTGAAATATAAATGAAAAACTTAAATGTTATTTAAATGCCATATAATTTAATTACTTCTAGTCTCCATCCTACATTAAAAGATTTTTTTGGACAGACCTCCAGGTAAAACTAGCATAAAAATCTATTCAAGAATTGAACTGCTACAAACTTTAAAAATCTGACAGAATTGCCATTATTTCAATACAAAGGAAGTGAGAAGCAATTCAAATAGTCTATGGCCTGAACACTAGAGGTTGTAGCTAAAAAAGAAATCACTTAGGAAGGGTCAGGGAAACATTGTCTGGGGGTGGTGGAAAAAAAAGTACTGAATTAAATTAAGGACTTTTCATAAAGTCACAGATTCAAATAAATTTTAAAGTTTTCTTTATGTGCAGAACAACTTCTGCCATTAATTATTTGATGGGTTTTGATGTCATGTTGGGAAACCATATTGTCAACAATTTTCTTCTACATTTTTTCCTTAGAATGAGTCATGTTTTGTTAGACCAATAAGGGAGCCTGATACCCCCTCACCCAAGTCAAAGCTAAATTTATTACAGAATAACGAGGGAAAGTGCGATAGACCTCAGCACTGCCATTCCCCTGCCCGAGGCTTCCACAGCTCACTTCGAAAAGCAGGAGCCAGGGATATATTCAGAGGACCCTGCAGGCTTCATTTACACATTAAAGGGTGAAATTCCACAGCAGGTCTCACACAAAAGGTAAAGCTCCACTGCTTTTTCTAGACTTGCGGGGAAGAAAATTTTAGTTGGGTTCACTCACATCAACATTTCAGGTCCCACTGGAGAGACCAAGGCACTGGACTTACGCCATTACATTGATACTGTGTTTTTTAATGGCAGCGAAATATGAATGTGGGGTAAAAAAAAAAAACGTATTTTTCCGTACGACAGCTGTGACTCCTGTTGTCATATGTAAACAATTCAAAATAAAACCATTCTTCTGGCATGCAATTGGTAAAAGACAAGCTGGATACCAAGGAAATTCTTCTACTTATTCCTCGTTACTTTACAGAAGCCTTACACAGCGCTCTGGCGTACGTTGGGTTACGCGAGTAGAGAGATGCAGCCTGCTGAGATGATACGTGAGGCACAGTCTCTCTCACAAAAAAAAGGTACAACTGAAAGAGAGGGCATCCAGAAATTGATACACAGGAGTGATTTTGATATGGAAGGCAGAACAAGGAATGGATGAATGAACCAATGACAAATCATGTATACGATCAACATTTCTATAGGCCCCAATGGCAATGAACTTCTCCTGGGTGCTTGTAGCAAGATCGCGCCTGTCCCCAGCAGCTTCATATCTAAACAAATAACGTGTCTCTAGTTTACTCATCAAGGACAGATGCAAAGAGAGAGCTGAAACTTTCCTAAAATTGCGAAGTACATTTATGGCAAGCCTGGGAACCTTTTTCTCCAGCGTACTCTGAAACTTACGGAATTTAATCCCATACCCTGCTTGCCCCTCCCCAGTCTGAGAGCTACCTTGGGACAAAAAAGGTCTCAAGCCATCTTCCTTAATTTAATGGTTTTCACCTGCAGAAATTTGCAATCAAATTCTCTTGAATAGCAAATTTGCATGGAGGAAATCCCCACGTACTTGAGTTGTAAATGACCATTTCCTATGCTCCCTTGAGAGTAAGGGTAAGGCTGTTGCCAAGGCAGTGAGATACGGTGTGTGAATCGAGAAGTATGGTTTTCAGTTCCACAAAATTTGGAAGACATACCACACTACAGCATAACTACAGCCAGCTGTGATGGAAGACTGTTAGTTTCAGTTTTATAATAGTAAGAGACAAATTTAATCGCTCCTATAGTGAGGCCCCCACCCCCTTGCAAGGTTACGGTGATGGCATTACCAGCATTTCTTCTGAAACCGCATACAAGGTGTGTGATGAAGATCGCACACTCTCAGGAGAGCAAGCAATGGCAACGTGCCTAACAGGAGCCTGCTGCATGACTTTCTTGCCATGAGCAGCTTCTCTCAACACAGTTGCCATCCTTGAAATGGCTTAATGGTCTCAAAACATCGCCTCCTGTTAAGAGAGCTCTCCCAGTCTCAACGAACTTCTGCAAAAGGAAAAATTCTACAAGAAGTAGCCGATGGAAAAAAAAAGGCATTTCACAAAGCAGCTGTAAACGGCCAACGAGCCACCTGAAAACTACGCCAGTTGAACGTAATTCTGCCACTGCAATGTAAACAATTCTATAATGGAAAAAAGTTGGAGCTATGGAACCCACAGAAGCCACATTTTAACTGGAATAAGAAATAAAGCGTAAACAGTTCATTTAGAGTGATGAAGTGTGGAGTACTGGAAGTCGGAGCGAGCCAAAGGAAAGCAGAACAATCCTGTGTCCTCCTCTGGCAGGGGAGCCCAGCTGTCCTGCTAGTCCAGCGGACAACGTCTCACAGCTTGGCAGGCTGCACGCAACATCTCTGACATCTGCTTTTGTTCTAGCTGAGCTCTGAAAGCTTACATAGAGCATTATACGTTCACAAAGCCGCGGTTACCAAGCACCTCAAAACAATGGCTGGCTAAACAGGACCATGGTTGCAGTGGGGATGGGGCGGGGAGGAAGAGTGGGAGGTTCGCTGGATGTTTCATAAGAGAGGTGCCATTTTGCTTTATATTTAGCAATAGTGATGGTTTAACTCTGACTGGAACAGGGAACGAACTTCAAACGAGCTTTAGGTGCCACCTTTGGAAAATCACAGTCATTGCACACTCAGATGTTTTCTTTATACTCCTCCCTGTACCAGAAGGATTAATTCTCATGCAGTTTTTTAATCCTCTTTACAAATAATACCTCCTCCACCCTCTCCTCCGCCTTCTCCGCGTGGGCCTGCAGTAAATAGTGTTTTGCCTCTCTGCAACAGGTCAGTTTATTTCAACGCTAGGAAAACCTCTATGCTCTCCCCTCTTTAACTCTGCAGCTCTACCTTTGAAAAGGGCATTTGCAAAACTGTCAGACCAGACAGCAAATACTAAACCCAGCAGATTTAGTAGACATTCTGCTTGCCAAACCAGGAAGAGTTGCTGAAATTCAAGGCATGTAAGATCCTGAACACCAACTGTCTTTCCCTCACCCTCTTCCAATGATTTTTTTGTTGTTGTTTAAATTGCAGGCGGCACTAACAAGGGCTAACAGAGAAGAAATTGAGAAACATTCTGCTGACTCGGGAGAGAAACATTTGCTTGCCACTGCTGACGACCAGAAGGAGCCTGTGGTCATGCTGGAATGCGATGTTAGAAATATCTGTACAATTTACAAATCTAACAAGACAAGATCCGGTCATCAAGATCAACTCAACATAAATCTATTCTTTAGCAACAGCAATTTAGGGGAGTTTGGAAATCCCTATCTGTTCAACCCTAATGTCTCCTAGAAGGTAACCTCGAACTCTTGAACTCACAGACCTTCAGAGAAGTTTTAGTTCAGTGATTGAAGGCACCCAAGTTAGAATGGACACTGCTAATTCTTAGAAATAAATTACTTTAAATGCTGTATTATGAAATTTCTAGAAAGTATAATCTTTTTATCTATAAATTATGCTTGGAAATTCATCAGTGCAAGTAGAAAGAGACAGCAGGCACATGTAAAAAAAAAATCAAGAAGTTAAAATCCTTAAAAACAAGCTGATATGTATAATACTTAAAACAGAAAAGTCTTTACCGTAAGGAAAAATGATTGAATATCTAATTAAAAGTGAATCATATTTTCACATTACTAATCATTCGGTGTACCTAGACTGTGAACACAATTAAAGCTATAAACAAACTCCGTATCAAGTGTTGGTTTCTCACATGCCCCTTCACAGAACAGCCATCCTTTTTCAAGCACAAGAACAACTACATCTAATTTTAACCTTTTATTTTTGGGGAAGATATAACTTTAGACTGGCTCTAATTTAGAAACATTTCACAAAGAAAAGTGCTATGTCTGCCAGCAAGAAAAATATTACACTGAACTTACTGCTGAACTTAACACACTAAAAAAATCTGGTTTCCCCCATGGATACATTGCTTTTCATACTGGGTTTGAGACGCAGCCCTTCCACAGGGGGGAAACATGTCATGATATATTTGATTAAGATAAATTGGAAAAACAAAAGCTTGCTTCTCATGGGAAACATCCTGCAAGCGTTGCCCCAGGCTGCGACTCATCTCATACTTATCTATGAAGTCATTACACCTCTCTAGAAAGTAACACCAAGTTACAGCATCTTTTTTATCTTCAAGAGCAGTGGACAACTACCCACAAAAACTGCTCTGTGATTAAGAAAGAAAAGCTTGACCTGGAGGCGGCTAGTAAGTATGTCGATCTAGTCTGTCTGTCTGTGTTACAAGACTAAAATGTCTCATGATTTTATATAATGTCTGGTATGCAGTGCTGGCTGTAGAA